GGGGGGGTATGGCCACCACCCACCACCCCTCACAAGCCAGCACGGTCGGGCCGTGGAACTCCGGGCAGGCGACAACGATGCCCGGGGACCCCGGGCACCCCCAGACCCCATCGGTGTATCAGCCTCCCCCCTGGCCCCCAGTGCACTGCCCTGTCCCTGGGGGTGTGAGGGGGGAAGTGGGGCAGGCTGGTGGTGAGCCCCCAGCATTGCCCAGACCCCCATCGGGGCGCAGTGCTACCCGCGGGGGGCCCAGACAGACAGATGAGCTGGGCTGATGCCGGGGGACTCAGTCCTTCACACCATCACTTGCTTCCCCCTTGAGCTGGACCCCATGCCCCAGTGGCCCTGCTTCCCAAATTGGCCTTGAGCACCCCAGAATGCCCCTGATGGTGTCCTGACCAGGCTCAGCTCTCCATGTGGGGCCAGACTCCAGCCCCCCGACACAGAGAGGTGCAAGGGAGGGCCCTGGGGAGGGGGTGATGTGGGGGATCCCTGTCCTGAGCATGCTTGTGCTGACGCACCAACTAAACCCCCTCTTTCTGATACGGGGGAGCTGAGCACCGGCCCGAGGCTGGGCGCTTTCGGGGTGCTGCTGAGTGACCCTGAGCAGGTGCTGGGTCCAAGCGGCCCCCCCAGGTCCTTGCTCTGGCACATTCCCAAAGCAGCAGGCACCCAACCAAAATAGCCTCAAACGTGGTATTTATAGCCCGGGGAGGCACCCTGTTAACCCTTCTTGCGCCAGGCATGTGGAGAGTATGGCTGGATGGGGACCCTGCCCAGAGCAGCCCCAGCCCCTCTCTGGTCCCCATCACCCCAAGAGCAGGACAAGGTCCCCAGGTCATCCTGGGGCACTGCACACTCTGTCCTGTCTCCTCAGCCTCCCCCTTGGCCCAGCACTACTTTGGGGAGCAGAAAGCCCAGCCCACCTCCCCAAATCTTCTCAGAATGAGGAATACCCCAGTTCACCCCAGGACCCCCACCACAGCTTCCCACCTCCTGGACAGGCGGTGGGCCAGGGCAGGGACCCCTGGGGCCATGCACAAACCCGGGCCAGCTAAAGAGGACACCCTGAGGGAGGGGGACTGTGCTGGGGTAACCCCTCGGGGAGTTGCCCCTTGCCTGGGCAGCACCCCTCCTCCCCAGGCCCCCCGGCACACCTGGTGAGCCCCAGCCCTGCCCAAGCTGGGCTCTTTTGGCTGACATCAGCTGGCACAGCCCCAGCCCCTCTGTCCCTGGAGGCCCCGGGCGGAGGGGACTGCTGTGCCACTGGGCACCGGGTGACTCAGCACCAGGAGCAGCGCTTAGCCCTACCCGGCCCCGCACCTCCCAGCCCTCTGCCCGGGCTGCAACCCAGATGCTGAGCGGTGCCAGGGCTCGCCCGTGGCAGCATCGGCATGGTAAAGGCTTGGGCTTGGTCACGGCAGCATCCTCAACTGCCCCGGCTCTGGGAGGCACTCCTGCCTGCTGCTTGCCTGCTCCCTGCCACCTGGGGGGCCAGCAAAGGTCTGGGCCCCACAGCCACGCAGGTGGGCAGAGGGTCGATGCCCCACATCCCTTCTGCCCCCCAAGCCCCCCCATCCCCAGAGTCCCTCCCGGCCGCCTAGTCGCCGTGTAATGCAGTGGCTTCCCAAAGGGTGCACACTGCCTGGTGGAGCGTGCCTTTAAAAGGGAAGGTATTTCCAGATGGGGTTGTTTCATCCCAGCGCAGGGGGGAGGATGGAAGGAAGGGGGGCTTGTGGGGTGGGGGGGGAGAAGATGGAAAAACAGACAGCATCCTTCCTCCTCCTGGCCCTGCTCTGAGAGCACCCTGCGCGTCCCTGAGCCCCACATGTGTGCCCTGCCTGCCCCATGAGTGCCAGCAGGGTGGCATGCCAGCCCTTGTCTGGGGGGCAGGGGGGCAGGTGGGTGCCCACAACATCATAGGGGACCCCAGGGGTCTGGGCCAACACAGTGCCAGCCGTACTGTTCAGCCATCCTGTCCTGTGACCCCATCCCGCTGCCCCGCCGGCTGGGGGTGTGGGGAGGATGGGCCCCCCAGGGGTGGTATGTCCAGCGGTGCTCAGCACTCTGCCCTGGTGCTTCAGGTAGGGCAATGCAAACCCCACACCAGGCCTGGAGAGCCCTTATCCCCATCCCACAGAGCAGGGGCGTGCAGGGTTGGGGTGCCCCGGGGAGGGGAAACGTACTCTTGGGCACTGCTGCTAGGAGGGGAAGCAGCTCAGAGGGGTTAACCAAGAGCATCCTCCTGACCCCGCTCTAGGACAGTTTGAAGTGGCCTTTCCTCAGCTGCTGTGACAGCCTTCCGGGATGGCTATGTGCAGGCAGGGGCCCCACGGCTGGCAGAGAGCAAACTGACGCCTTGGACTTTCCACAACCTCTTAGGAAAGCCCCATCTGCATGCAGGACCCGGCAGCACGGGAAGCAGGGGGTGAGGGACAGGAGCCAGGGACCCTGCCAGAGTCCCATCCCAGGGACGAGGCCCCAAGCACTCTGCCAGCTAAAGCCCCAGGGGCTTCAAAAAGCAAGGAAGCTGCAGAGAGCAGCAGTGCAGGGGTGCCTCCTGTCCTGTCCAGCCCCGTTCAGTTTCCCCGAGGCTCCATCCCAGGCCAGGCTGACCCAGACTGGTGGAGCCTGGGAAGCGGGCCCTCAGCCCCCACACTGGCCTGGCCCCAGCTTCCACCAAGCCCTGGGATGAGGCTGCTGCCGGGAAGGCGTCGGGAGCTGGAACGTCAAACAATTCCCTCCGGTCATGACATCCCCGTGAGCAAAGCCAGCTGCATCCCGTGGCTGCCCTCCTCCCTGACCTTCCCTTCCCACTGCTCCCCCAGGAATTAAGCCACCCGGCGAGCCGGGCATAGCCTCCCTGGGCTGCGGGCATCTCACGACTTGGAGGTGGGCAGGATGCAGGGATGGGGTGCCGGCCCTTCCTCGGCCCCGTTCCCTGCCGCTGGGGCCCCCATGCCTGCCTTGCGCCTGGCCCTGGCTCAGGGGTGAGCAGAGGGATGGGAATGAAACAGTGAGGGCATCCATCCCCCTCCCTCCTGGCCCCCGGCCGTCTCCTTCTGTCCTGCTCCTTTTACAGCCATGAGCCTCCCAGGCGCCTTTACCCTAACAGGGAAGGACCGTGCAGCCCATTCCCTGGCGCTGACGGACCCAGGGCACGTGCTATTGTCTAAATAGGAGATGGTTCTCCTTCCCTGCCTGGACCATGGCCCAGCCTGGCCCACCGGGGTCCCGGCAGCTGATGGGTGCCCTACAGGCTGTAGACCCCCACCCACTACTCACCCCAGCTGCCCCCATGCTTTCATCCACCCCAGGGCTCGGGGCCAGCAGTGTGGGCACACAGCCCGTCTGGCTGCCCCTGGTCCCCACCCCTGTGCTCCCAGGTGATGGGGATGCTGGGGACGATGGCATGTCTCCAAATGGCACAGGGATGCTGGGGTGCCTGGCTGCCCCGCAGCATGCGTGGATGCTGGGGGTGTTCAGCTAGCCCCTGTAACCCGTATGGATGTTGGAGGGTGTTTGCCCACACCCCCCCGGGTCTTTGTAGGTCCTCAGGGTGAGTTTTTGCATCTGTGGTCCATGAGGATCCTGGGGGTGACCTGTTGCCCCCAGGGCCATGTAGATGCTGCAGGAGACCAGCTACCTCCATGTCCATGCGGATGCTCGAGGCATATACCTGCCCCCATCACTCATCTCCAGCTAGCCCTGCAATCCGTGAGGATGCTGGGGGTGTTCACCCATCCCCGCAGCCCAGGGGCAGGCTGAGGATGTCCACCTGCCCTCATTGATCCATGGGAATGCTGGGGCTGCCCAGCTGCCTTCGCGGTCCACGAGGATGTAGGGATGACTGGCCACCCTCGTGGTCCATGAGGATGCTGGGGTGTCTCTCTGCCCTCCTGCAGGCCTCGATAGCATCACCCATGCCAGTGAGATGAGGTAGCCGTTACCCGCTGCATCACTGGCGGCTCATGTAAGGCATGGTGGCCATTCGCTCAGCCTCCAGCAATGCCTGGGCAGTGATTTCACTTTCTCATGCTCAGACACGTGGGCCGGGATGGGGGGGACCGCCTCGATGGGTGCCATCCCTGCGCTCATCCTGGCAGGGCGGGCAGGGAGGGGGGTCCAGGCAGCCTGGCAAGCAGCAGGAGAAGGGGGCGGCACTTCCTGGAGCTCCGGCTGTGTTTACAGGCTCTGTCCCGGGCCATCTCTCCGTTAACCCTTTCCAGCAGGGCTCAGCTCTGGCTGCCCATCCCCACAGCCACCTGCCGCCCCAGGGAACGCTTCCTGGAGCAAAGCCTGCACGGCACCCAACCCTGGGCTGCCAGGAGATGTGGGAAGGGGCACGGTGCCCTGTCCCCACCGATCCTGCCCCTGCCAGGCTCCCCTGGGCACACGCGTGAGCCCAGCAGCGGGGTGCAACCGCCCCGAGGAGGAGCTGATGCCGGCTTTGGGGGGCTGCCTGGGGCTCCCTGATGCACCCAGGCGTCCATGGGGCAGAGAGGGATGGGGACAGGAGCAGTGCCTTCCCAGCAGCGTGGTGATGGGGTGGGGGGCGGCCGCGGCAGGTGCTGTGCAGCCCCCCGGCACCCAGCCAGGGGTGAGTCAGAGCCCACCCGGCAATAGACAGCGGGAGCTTTTTCTGGAAACCCTGCTGCTCCAAGAATAGCTGCGGAATGCCAAGGCGCTGCCCTTTGCTCAAGCCTGCAGGGCTGGGCAAGGGCTGCACCCGGCCCTGCCACTCACCCCCTGCTCCGGCCACCCCAAATCCGGGCACCCCCCCCGCTCCTGCACCCACCCACCCCTGGACCCATCTGCCCTGGGCACTTGTGTCCACTGGGTACCCACCCATCCGGGCAGCCACCAGCCAGGGGGGCCA